GACAGACAGACAGACAGACAGACAGACAGACAGACAGACAGACAGACAGACAGACAGACAGACAGACAGACAGACAGACAGACAGACAGACAGACAGACAGACAGACAGACAGACAGACAGACAGACAGACAGACAGACAGACAGACAGACAGACAGACAGACAGACAGACAGACAGACAGACAGACAGACNGAGAGAGAGGGAGAGAGAGAGAGAGAGAGAGAGAGAGGGAGAGAGAGAAGAGAGAGAGAGAGAGAGAGAGAGAGAGAGAGAGAGGGGGGGGTGAGTGAGAGGATGCTTGACGACATTTTTATGAACTCACTAGTCGCGACTAGTGCAAGTGCTAAGCAGCCCTGTTTTACATGTTTGATAGATGAACAAGGGACTTTGACTTTTCTCTCAGGATTAACCGAATCCCCGGGCACCTCAGCTTCAGGCAAACATCAGAGGCTGTCTCATCCAACAACCAGAACAGGGCAATGCCATCTTCTCCAACTGTCACAAATTCGTTTATTGTAAATGGGTCCCATTTGACGGAGTGGATGGCAGATGATGCAATAATCAGTTCAAGATTTTTATACTCCATTAGTGTTTCCCTGTAATCTCCTGATTTTAAAAAAAAACAACAAACGAACAAAAAAAGGACACTTTTTTAAATACCTGTAATAATGTTTTGGAAAATTTCATAAGTTTTAAAAAAAATATAATTTACGTTGACCTTGGAGAAAATATAAAAAGTATTCCAAAATATTATTTCGTGAGTCATAAAAAGAAAATTAAAAATTAATGAATGACTTGCAATGATTTTTTTTTTAAATATACAAGGGAAGTAATGAGTGTAGATTCACACTACAAATCGTAACGATTGCGTCCCTGAATTTCAAATTTAGACTTTCCAAAGGGAGACAACTAGCAAGTTCTTTCGCAAATTGGTACAAACATTATCTAATTTAAAATATGGAATTTATAATATGTTTTAATTGATGATAACTGGTAAATTTTAAGAATAAAATAAATATATTTCTAATTTCTATAATTTATAATTAAAAAATGAAAAACTTTATTATTATATCTATGTAAATAAACATTAAAAACCATAGTTTTTTTACAATATAATTAAAATGTAAGCTTAATGCGACCGAAGTTAGTTGTCAACAGTAGGTATTTCTGATCTGTAATTGCCCTCGGGCAATGCAGTAAAGAAAACATGATGAACTGCGACGTATGACTCATGTGAGTTAATCCGCTGAGAGTGAGGCCGTAGCAACACCTCACTGTCAATTCTGACCTACTGTTGATAACAACATTATAAGCTACTCACCTTATTAAAGATCAGTGCAATATAACCCTTACGTTTGAAAGAACAATGCTACTATTTCCTTGAATGACAGTTTGCTTAATGTTATCGGATTAGTCAGTTATAAAAACAGTGAGAGTGGACATAATAAATCACATTCACAGTAGAGCGAAGTCCTTCGGTTATATAACGTTTAATTTGATTGGTTACTTCCTTTTTTTTTTAATACGTGTGCCCCCCACCCCCGGAAAAAAAATATATTAGGCTGTGTGCATGCATAAATGCTAAAATTTACTGCTCTTGGAACTATTTTCCACATGCTCTTGAAATCGAAAACAAATTTTGTAAGTATGTCAGTTGGCATTGGAACTGGCCATCTTGTTCAGTTGTTAATTACTGGAGGCGCCACAGTACACACCAATTTAAATAAATCCTGCAACTTCAGAAAAGGGGGGTGAGCAAATGCCGCCCTTTATTAATATAAAGAAAAAGTGTGGAATGGGGCGTAATGTCCCTCCGCACCCCCTTCCTACGCAGCTGGTCATGAGTTGTAAGTCAAACACCCCGGATGTTTGGGCCTAAAACCCCTTGTACCCACCACCACCACCCCTGGTATTCCGTGACAGGTCATCACCCAGCTGACTTGCTCAGTTGACTGTTGGATTAATTTTTTTTGTTCCTCCAGTTTACCGAGTAAAGACTTATTACCCTTGCATCGCTATACGGCATCCTTCTTGATTCTAATTTAAAATATCGTAGTGTTTATTAAGTAAGTTAATATATTTGAGAATTTTGTTCCGAAATATCTTTTTTTTTTAAATTGAAACAAAATTCGGAGTAGATATATTCACAAAGTTTGAGGACTATCGGATGCATAAGGAAATATTGCATGTTTTCCATGGAAACGGACCCTCTTTGACGCAGGCTCTTCCCCAAAAGACACGATCAATGCACCTTCAGGGGGCGTCCATTAATTATGTCAACAAACTGGGGAGGTTGGATGATATGTTTGACGATTGTTGACAATGGGGAGGGGAGGTTACATTAATTCATGTCAACAAACATGTTTTCTCTTTTAAAATTTTAATCTCAAAAATTGAATTTTTTTTTTTCCTTTAAAAAAAAAAAAAAAGTTTAATGAGTGAATATAATCTTCTGAGGCTTTTAACAATATAAGATTTATTTAATGTGAGTCGGTCTGTGCACTGCAGATGACCTGTCAGAATGTTAACACATTTAGTTAATGCAAGAGAAGTCAAAAGTTGGCCTCTCTGCACCTGTAGGTTCTGTTTGTCGAAAATGACTAGGGCGGTATGTTTACGATCATGTTACAGGTATAGAACAAGGACAAGGTTCAAGTGTCATGTGCAGTCAAGATAAATGATATTGATAGAGAAGAAATGAGATATTTTGAGAATTAGGGGAAAGTAAAGTGAGAAACAATAATAACATCGCTGCTTGAACGGATTGGCAAAATCTGTCATATCTATTTTGCATCACAAGTTATGTTGAAATAGCAAGCTCAACAGCATCGACAATGCCCTCTTGAGCATACGAAATTAGCACCTGCTCCTCAACAATAAAGGATTCGACCAGGGTTTCTTTAAATGCTCCACCCCAAAGGGGGGGGGGGGAATTTCTGAAAGAAACACTGAATTCGATTAATGAGAGTAGCTGCCCGGAGACAGAGAGAGCTTATGGCAATTATTGCTCACACTGACAAGGCTACTATTTTAAGTGCTGAATGGTTAGATGAGGATGCTTTTGACTTGTCTGGTATATCAGTTCCCCAAAATGAAGATGATAAATCAGCTGCTATGCCCATGGTTACGATAACCTGGCACATGGCCACTCCATGGGAAGAGGATATTCAATGATAGCAGCGAGAAACCTTACTACGATTGTCAGCTATACATAGAATAATAATATTTATACTTCTACAAACAATGATATTTAGTCTTTAACAAACTTTTAATTGATTCTGCATTATAAAATTTAAGTGGAAAAGCATTTTAGCTTGTTGATTACCAAGCTAAAGATATAATAAAATGCTTTCCTATAGTTTTATGCGCCATTAAATAGATCTGCACAAAGTAAAATGTAAGTATATATTTATTTAAATTATAATTATTTATTTATTTTTTTTTTATTTTTTTTTTTGTGGGAAGGGGGTATAAAATGTTGACATAATAATTACTTAGGATTGGGGGGGGGGTGTCATTGAAAGTTTGACAGGTGTTGACAAGAGGGGCGGAGGGGGTTAAAAATTGCGTAAAAATTGTTGACGTAATTAATGGACGCCCCTTTAGAGTGAAAATCGAACTTGCATATCGCGTAAATAGCTGAAGTTTCCAGCATCTCCCATGACATGTAGAGCCGAACGTGTCGTGTTTATTCATATATGTTTTTCTGCGTACAACTCGTACACTTTAAAAATGTCCATCAACTAAATAAAGTGAAAGCATGCCATACTAACTGATACACTAAGGAACCAAAAAGCCATCCCGTACTTTATCCATCAAGCTGCCTCCAAAGAAAGCTTTCTTTGATTTATTTAGTGTGTGCTGAGGGGCACAGCTACAAATAGCGTTGCTTTACAGATTGACACATAGCAAGCCTCACATTATGCTGCCGTAACACATTCGCTTCATGCGCGCGGAAAGAGAGAGAGAAGATGGAGAAAGAGAGAAAGAGGAGAGAGAGAGAAGAGAAGATGGAGAGAGGGAGAGAAGAGAGACAGAGAAGATGGAGAGAGAGAGAGGCACGTAGCAAAAAACAGAGTCGTGACAGCCTTCCTTGTCGGGTCACGGACAGTTTAAACGTAGCACTGCCAAGTTTTCTGATCTTGTGTCAAACCCAAACTTGAATCAAGACGTCAAATCAAACATTTTTGTGGGTATCCATTTTTTTAATTTTTTTTTTTGATTTGATGGTGATCATATTTAATTAGGCCCTCTGTCCCCATTCAGTTACAGCACAGGTTCCCAACCTTTTCTGAGTCGGTACCATTTTAAAGAAAGCAAGGGTTCCCACGAGTCACGTTTTTTTTAAAGAAACATGGTGACCTACTTAAAAAAAAATAAAAAAAATAATGATAATTAAGCGACATCTATTGGTCGCTTGTTAGAGCCTCTGCTAACAGTTAGCTAAGTGTCAACATCCATGCTAATCATTAAACGGCCGGCCAAACCAAAATCGGGGTTGGATATGATAGCCCCCCCCCCTTTCCATGTTTAAATCACCGGTACATGTATACGTATTTTGAAATAATTCGTATATATGGGTCTTAACAAATCCCCAAGACGCAGTTAAAAATCTGTCAATTTCAAGGTTAAATCTAATCAGCTGTGTGTTAATATCGTGGTAAATGGCATGCAAAATGAAATAGGCTCAACTTTCCTGGTTTACACCAGCTATTCCCACCTAGCTCCATTTTCCTAGTTTACACCAGCTATTCCCACCTAGCTCAACTTTCCCAGTTTACACCAACTATTCCCACACGTACAAGTTTACTGACAGTAAGACTACAACATAGCGTAGGTACAAGAGAAAAGCCTAACTAATGAGACTGCCTAGTCATTCTGCCAATAGGACAAAAAGATCACAAAATCAAACATGACACACAAAAAAGAAGTCATAACACAAACAGACTCAAAAAAAAGGTTTTTCAAATAATTAATTTATTAGCAATACTGCCATCAATGACTGGATCAGAGACACACTTCCTTTCAATGTTCCTTTACATTTATAGGGAACACTATAAGTTAGCAGAGGACCAGCAACAGTCCTGTGTCAGTAAATAAAAACATCTGCTGCGCTGGTTATGTGGTCACATAAATTTTTAATTGATTTACATTACCTGATTCCTTGTTGCTACACTATATTAACTCTTGTCTCAGGATGCTACTGTGCATTGTTTTCATCTGAAGTTTATGCAATAACAATAAGGTCATTTAACAAAATCTCTTATTAGCATGGCCTTATTGGAAATAGAAGGTTCTAATTTCACACACCCCTTACCACAACAAGCACACACCACCCACACGCCCTCCCAAGAAAGTTTAACAGAAATCTAGTAACCATATTTGAAATTATTATAACAGAATGGACTTAAATACTTTACAAAAAGTATTTTAAAAGCCCCCACACATGAGAGAGCGTAAAGGCATTAGTATTCATAGCAATAATTCTTCATAACCTTGCACACCCTGGGTTGAATTGTGTGAACATAAAGAACCGGATAGTTAAGCTGATGCAACACCCACTGAAGCGATTCATTTCACAACATTTTCATGACCAGCATTTCATGACAAAACCCTATCCAAACATTTTGCCCAATCACTGGTTCTTTGATCTCATACTTTACACTAAATTATTTTTCATCTAAAAGTCAGTTAACATTTGATCAAAAAATATTTTTTGATCTAAAAGTCAGTTAACATTTGAAAGTTGTACACATCAGTTGTACACATCAGAATGACTTGAACATGGTGTTTGGATCAGTCCATTCCCTAAAACAAAGTGGCACATCAACAATGCGGGGGGGGGGGCCAGATTTCTGTTGGCCAAAGTATTTCATCAAGACGCTAATTGTGACAAGCAAATATCAAGAGTTAGATGGCAGAGTCCTCTTGAGGTACCAGAGTGCTGAAACACTGTCACAGTGCTCCTGCAAGAGAACAGACAAGTGTACACGTTTAGTCAGACTTCTTTGTACAGTTTGGTAATATCTAAAATAAGATTTCTTCTAGTTAGCGCAGTTGGTGACACATTCAGAAGAGAACCACATATATATACTTTTTAAATTTTGTTAATGAGATTGTAGATCTTCAGCATATTGCAATGTAAAAGAATACGACTGATAATCTGACTTTGATAGTTTTGACTTATCTCTGAGTTGTCAAATAAAAATAAAATCTGTTCAACTAATGGCACTGTGTTTTTTAAACTTATTCCATTTATTTAACTCAGTAAATTAGCATATGGTCTTACAAAATTATTTTTCAAGTGAGCACACAGATATACCTACTTTAAGAAATTTTCGTACTTCATTTTCACTAAGATCAAGGCCAGCATCTTTGGCCCTAGTGCGAAACAGCATACTGCGAATTTTCGGAGACTCTTCAAAAAGACTAAACAGGACTGTTCTCAACTGTTGATAAAGAAATAGAAAATACATAATATCGAGTATTCAGAAATAAGCAATAACCAATCACATAAATATTGCAACCATAGGTAGATAAATTACTGTTACCTCAAATAACAATTACTAACTAAATTCATTCTTTAGATTTAAAAAAAAACATCAACAACAACAAAGATAGATTCCCCCCCCCACACTTTTTTTTCCTGTTGCACTTCAGCTAAGAAAATAAAGGCCTTACCACAAATCACCACAGGCGTTGTTAAAGATGGTTTTAACTAGCTGTTAAGACTTTAAATGATATGTTTCAAATGAAACCCACTACAATGGTGACACACAATTTTTAAAAAGCAAAGGCAATTAAATTTGAAATGCAAATGTGCACAAGTCTTATAGTCATCTAAGTAAATGTGAAAAGGTGTCTTATATTAATCGAAGTAAAAAAAATATTAACCATTCTGTGGTTAGGCAGGAGCATTGAACAAGACACTTATTTTAAATGGCTTCACTAATCCGGGCTACTGACCTTATCTGTCGTAGCATTTCCTGTTAAGGATGAAAACATTGCCTCAGGCTTCCTATTTGGTGGCCACTGCAAATAAATACAAAGGATTAACATTCCTTTTACTGACCAGATTTACATACTCATAGTACGATACATAATAAGCTGGATGAACAAAAACAAAAAAACCTAGGGGAGCAAAACAAGCAAGTGACATTAATTGAGAAATACCAGCACTATACCGTTTGGTGACATTGAGAATTAGCAGCACTATACCGTTTGGTGACATTGAGAATTAGCAGCACTATACCGTTTGGTGACATTGAGAAATAGCAGCACTATACCGTTTGGTGACATTGAGAATTAGCAGCACTATACCGTTTGGTGACATTGAGAATTAGAAGAACTCTACTGTTTGGTGACATTGAGAATTAGAAGCACTATAATATTTGGCGACATTCAACGTTATATTTTGAAAGAACAAAGACCTTTACCCCCCCCCCCCCCATATTTTCTGATAGGAGAAATTGATCCAGTTCTTTATGAGAATAGTAAACCAAATAATGAATGTCCTTATTGGAGGTTTGTATTTGTAGCTTGTGAAATAATTTTAGGCCAAGACTTAACACGAACACTTTTGCACATTTTAAAATAAACTACATGAACAGCTTTCCAATCGGATGAGGTAAATTTACTTAATACAAAAATCATTATCCATTTCGTAACATTTGCCATACCTGGTTCTCAAGCCTAAACCCTCCAACAGCTACAACTGCATCCTCTATCATCTTATCGGAAACTCCCAAATTGAAAACGTGAGCCGAGGGAACCCGGGCCGTGTACATGGACATCTTGATGCGCAGATCTGACATGCACAACGTGGTGCTCTCAGACAAGGCTTCCTTCACAAACTTTTCTAGCTCCGCCATAATTTTAACATTACCATCACTGTCATTGATTACTGCTTTATCACAAAGGCTTGGATTAAATCCATTCTGTAGAATGGTTGAGGAATGTGTGCTGCCATTGACTGCCGGAGTGTCTAAGATGTTCCGGCAAGCTGGGCTTTCAACTATTTTATGTTTTTCAGGATGAAATTTTTCATGGTGATGCCCTTTATCTCCCATGCTGTCAAGCTCCATGTCACTTAGGTCGGATTGAGAACGACCACTTAGAGTTCGTTTCCTTGGGGAGCGACTGGAGAGTCTACGTGTTCTATGTCTGTCTGTTGGTTGCTGGCTCATCAACGCCATTTCCAATTCTGAAGATGGAAACAAAATTAGTAAATATTTAATTACATTATAAATGGAGGGAACTTATAATGATTGGAATTTGATTGTGACAGCAGGATCATAAAATTATTGATATAATTTGATTGTGATACAAGTATCTTGAATTGATTGATATTTGATTATTACGCTAACTAGTTTCTTACAATGCTTGATATTTGATTATGACACTTGTATCAATTTGATTATGACACTTGTATCAATTTGATTATGACACTTGTATCAATTAGAAAGCTGACTGAAACTATAAATATAAATCCGCAAGCAAGTTTTAAAGAGCTGCTGGTAGAATTGTTAGCATCATTTAAGACAAAAATTTAATTAAGATACTACATTTTACAATTTATATTCCTTCATTTCATTATCTAAAAGTATTTATGGTTTAAAGGGAAAACACCTCACCCAAAGCCTTTTTGTCTCCATCTTTGGGCATTTTAAAATGTGAAGCAAGACTGTGAAAAGTTAAGGCCCATTTGTTTCTTTGGCGCTGAACTATCTCCGGATGCCTGCAAAAATATAACTTTAGTAATTATAAGATGTGATTTATTTGAAAAGCATTCTTTAACCTCAAATAGATGTTATAATTATCTATGATGTTTTGACAAGACCTTTCAATAACATCAATTCAAGTAAATATAACAGGCAAACTAGTAGGCCAATCAAACAAAAAATGTATACATTTCTCCTGCTGCCTAATAAAGAAAATTGGATAATTTCTCCTGCTGCCTAATAAAGAAAATTGGATAATTTCTCCTGCTGCCTAATAAAGAAAATTGGATCATTTCTCCTGCTGCCTAATAAAGAAAATTGGATCATTTCTCCTGCTGCCTAATAAACAAAATTGGATCATTTCTCCTGCTGCCTAATAAACAAAATTGGATCATTTCTCCTGCTGCCTAATAAACAAAATTGGATCATTTCTCCTGCTGCCTCATAAAGAAAATTGGATCATTTCTCCTGCTGCCTAATAAACAAAATTGGATCATTTCTCCTGCTGCCTAATAAACAAAATTGGATCATTTCTCCTGCTGCCTAATAAAGAAAATTGGATCATTTCTCCTGCTGCCTAATAAAGAAAATTGGATCATTTCTCCTGCTGCCTAATAAACAAAATTGGATCATTTCTCCAGCTGCCTAATAAACAAAATTGGATCATTTCTCCTGCTGCCTAATAAAGAAAATTGGATCATTTCTCCAGCTGCCTAATAAACAAAATTGGATCATTTCTCCAGCTGCCTAATAAACAAAATTGGATAATTTCTCATGCTGCCTAATTTAAAAAAAAATTGGACTGTTTCTCTTGCTGCCAAATACAAAAAAAAGTGGATAGACACAAATTAAGGCAGTAAGATAAAAATAGTCAATGTGTAATCTTTAAGCCATTTATTTGTGATAAACTTTTTGGTCAACTCTACCTCTCACAGAAATCTCTGTCATAGTCATAGAGGAACTCCCAGCCACTCCTTGCTTTAAGCCGAGACATCTTTTCTAATATTTCTTTCACTTCATCTGAACGTAGCTGATATAAAAGAATCAAGTGTTCATAAAATCCCTGTTCAGCACAATGGTAAATTATCAAAGTTAGTGTAATCTATGTTTCTGTTGAAACACCTTTATGAAACTTTACAGGAAAAAGTTTGAATTTTAAGTGTTTTTAACAAGTTTATACTGATTACATTTTCTCATCAAAAACGAGAGAGAAATATTTTCCGTTTAACCTAAAATAATTTTTTTAAATACCTGAACAATTGAAGATATGTCTTTCCTAAGAACATACTTGTTATGTGTAAATTTCCACATCTGATAAGACAAGAAAAACAAGCAGTTTTTAATGGCCATACTTTTGTATGAACTCTTTAAGCTCTTAGTGACAGACTCATTTAACATTAATTTTCTTTTACTATAGTATGATAAGTTTGATTGCAATCGTTTGGGTCAAAAGGGAAATTACCTTTTGTAATCATTTAAATTAGAACGAGCAAAACCTTACAAAAAGGCATCCCTTCTTTCATCATTTGCTTATACTGTTGATATAAATCTGACAATGTGGCCCCTACGCTTTTAACGAATTATTCAACTTACTGCATAATCTCTAACCCTCCTCAACAGCTCTGGAGACACAGCACTATGTGGCCTCCGCTTCCTGGATATTTCTTCCCTTTCTTCATCGGGGTAAACAAGCTCACTGTACGAGTATGAGAATAAGTCACATTTTTACCAAAAACCAAATACAACACTAGAGAAAATAATGTTTTATGGTTAGTCTTCTTCTTCTTCTATATCTTAAGGGCCCACGATCAATTTATTGATCATTTTGGCTCCTATGCATGTAGATGGGATTTGCAATGTTTCTGTTACTGGTGGTGATGAGGAAATTATGCACTAGGGGTTTGAAGGCTTGAGGCAATAGACACAAATGTGTCTAGTGTTGTCGCCTCAACTGTTCCTTTTGAAAGATGGTTCCAGTCCCTGATTGTCTTGGGCAGGAATGAGCAGCTCCTATACTGGCTTCTTGCTGGTATGAGCCTGAATTGCCTGTCATGGCCTCGTCGCTGTCTATGGGGGAGAGGGACGAGTTTCTGTTTAATACTGGAACAGTGGACCAGCCCATTATTTATCTTGTACATCATGGAGAGCCTGGATTGTCGTCGTCGTTTCTCCAATGGTGACCAGCCTAGTGTTTCTAGCATGCTGCCAACACTAGAGGTATTCCTGTAGCGGTTTAGGACAAAGCGTGCTGCTCGTCGCTGGACCGCCTCCAACCTGTCAATGCTCTTCTGGGTAAATGGGTCCCAGACTGAAGATGCATAATCTAAAATCGGACGGATAAAGGCTTTATATGCTCTTTCTTTCACACAGGAGTTGCCAATCTTTAGATTTCGCCTTAAGAACCCCAAGGCTTGGTTTGCTTGGTTACATACATTGGTTACATACATACATAGTTATCATAGAGGTTCAATTTCTCTTTTCAAAATGATGTTTATTTAATCACTTCTTAAATGTATTATGTTTGATTAAATTACATCAATGAATGAAAAAATACTGAAACCAAAGGTTAATATTTGAAAAAAAAACACTAGATAAAAAGTCTCTAATACTGACCTTTTCACAACCCAGCAACCCTGAACTAAAACAGCCATGCTTTGCAATGATCTAAGTACAGCTTGGTGGTCCGTTCCGGGGGCAAGAAAGCTTATTAACTGACTGAACCGAATCACTTTTACTGTGGAATTCAATTTACTGTATAGTAAATACAGGTTGCAAACAGCTTTTTAAGTATAAATTTGGGAATGATACAATTTTAAACTCTAAAAAAATGGAATGTTTTAGTAGCTAAATAAAATTAATAAAAATGCAGTCTATGGCCAGACCATGATCTGATTTCGACAAAAACCATTACAACTTATTCATAAGCCGACTTTTCTGGGAATATTTCATTGGAATAAGAAAGGTGGTCAGCCTATCAGCGGGTCATAGGAGATTTTTATAATTTTCTCCAGCTACATTGATACTATTATTTGAAAACAAAGATGAAAAGTAATTAACGAAATCAACATAAGGCCTTATGGCTAAATGGGTTCACACAGTTATGTCCTCATTTTGTAACTGTCGTGATGGGCTCTGCTAGAGTGTATCAAAGTATTAAATAATGAATTTGTTATTGAAGGTCCAATTTTGAAAATGTTCAGTATGGTTTACAAAGGTAATCCCTTTCATGCGAAGATGACCAATGTAACATTGAATTTCCATACATGATTTACGTATATACCAGTTAACACCCAAAGCGAGTATCTGTGTTATACATATTATTGTATGTTTTTTTAAAAGTCTTTTTACTTGCACAATAACTATTTTTAAAAGTTTGAGTGTTAAAAAATTAATTCTTTTCTATAGCACATATTGCTTCTACTGGAATATTATGTATGTCAAATTTTCATTGAACAATAACACCATTATAATTAAGCACATATAATGCTGATACTTACCATTGATTAGAAGAGCTCGAATTTGATCATTAAGCTCTAGCTTTCTAAGCTCATTTAATGAAAGGACATTATCAGGCATAGCTGGTTTCTCACTATTTGAAAAAAAACGAGTTAATAACATACATTTTTAAAGACTGATATTTTTTCTCTCCTGAATTAACAATCTTAAACATTCAAATTCAAATGCAACACTTATTCATTTAAACAACAAAAGAATTCACAAAAAATAACTTGGCAAATCTGACCAATTTTTATCAATGTTACTTCAGATGTCATCTGTGTACTATCAATATTATCCAGAGATTCAAATCTTACCTCTTGTCTTCACTTGAAGGTGGTATGAGGGACTGCAAGTATTCTTGGGGAGATATTTTAAATTGGGACACCCTGGGTCCTTCAGATGCCTGTAACTGTTGTCGTTCTGTCTCACCCAAACTGGACTGCATTTGAAATTAAATGATTACATAAATAACGATGTTACTTTTTCAATTCTAGAACAGTAATAATATCTGAATATATTTGTTAACAAAGCTACCGTGTTGAATTTTAACAAACATGTTTTAGCAGGATGGCCTTTTGCTTCCTGTGTCCAGCCACAGGGATTCTTTAAATGTGACTCTCTGTAGTTAATAGATAAGGCATTATTTAATAGTACCAGAGAATCCAATTTAGTCCTCACCTCAGATGTGTGATAAATTACAGGCACCCAGCGCTCCTCTTCACGTTTTTGATTGACATATTCATAACTTGCCATCCTCCGAGCTTTGAACTCCACACTCTCTCCTCTAGATACCTTCATGTGGACAGGAGTGGCCTCCTCCTCCCCCTCATCTTGAGATGATTCACCTTAAATAAAGTAAAGGCTACTCTAACTTTTTCATTTAAAAGCATACAAGTTTTTTTTCTTAACAAGTTAATGACAATACTACCTTTTGTCATGCAAATAAAAACAATTTACAGACACAAACGTGTTATTCACATTGACTTCATCGAGTTTTTTAATATGACCCATTGTAACAGACCATGTTTGCACACGAAACCATTGAGTCAGAGAGGTGGCATAATTTGAATATTGAACTATGTTAACGTGTATTTTTCACGGGGAAAGAGAGTAAATTATGTTTTTGAAAAGCGGAAGTGAGCCGCACGTTTTTGTTGAGTGATCAAGGGGCAGTACATCGGATGTTGTAGTTATAGAGGACGTGGTTGATTTTCTAGAAGGTGAATTTTCTATACCATGGAATATTATATATATATACATATGTGAAATAATTGTATTGTGGATGTTATTGACTGGATATTTATGCAAGGAGTCTTCTTAATATTATTATTGTAAAAGATGACGTAATAAAGTACTGTGAGTTTAATTGGAAATTAATATACTTCTTTGTGTGACTGGCTAAGTGAGTGAAGGAATGGAAGAAGTATTACTCTACACAAGCCGGCATCCTGAATCATCAATATAGAAGCAGTTAACCATGCTACTGACACAACACCCTAATAAATAGCATGTCAGAAGCATGTGTTACACCCATGATTTTGAATATTATCATTACCTCCATCTGCTAAACTTGAGTTTGCTGCCTCTGTGCGGTGTCTAGTATCTGCTTTGTCCAAATATTCAAAGCTTGGTCGCATCTGAACCACGCCACTCATAGGTGTTAGATGAAGCTCACCTATTTTAAGCGAAAGTTACAAGAACTTTTTAATGTAAGTATATATATATAAAGCTTTCAAATAAGATGCATACATTTTCTAATCAGGTTTTAAAAAGAAAATATATTGAACTATCATAATTAGTGGATTTTGAAGTTGTTATTTCAAAACACTATTTAAAAAAAAAAAATTCTGCCTGTAAAATTTTAAACTCTTTATCAGGAATAACCATATTTTGTTATGACCTGATGTATATTATACATCTAAACAGGAAGATTTGAATTTGTAAATACCATACACTTTCTACCACAATCTTATTGAAGGTATTGAAACCATCAGTTGTCTTAAAATGATTTTTCTCATGCCTTTAAAAGTTGCTTGAATTTTTTAAAAAATTTTTTTAAAGTAAACAAAAATTCATTTATAGACAACTAACCCTCTTTAAAAAGACCAATAGCATACTGGCAGTTAGAAAATGACTTCACATGTGGAGGGCATGATAGAACAATTTTGTCCATTCTTGAGCTAGAAAATAAGATAATCATTATTCGGACAAAATCATTAAATAGTATATACAGTGGTACCTCGGGTTATGAACGCCTTGGATCACACAAAAATTCGGGTTACGAATATTTTGGTCTCGGGTAACAAACAGTGCCTCGGGTTACAAACAAAGTCGAGAGAGAGATATATTTAGAAAGAAAGGTTTAACATTGGAGAAAAACAATCATGTACCTTACAAACCAAGGCAATGTTGTGCTAACATCGCTTAGTGCTAGCCTAAGAGCCTAGTTTTGTATGTGTGCATTGCCTCGCTTACATTGACCTTACTGCACAGCAGTAAAAGATTTCTTAGCAGTGCCAATGTGTTCAATTTATCTCTTTCATTATTTCCCTTGTTAATCCCATCAATTATGAGTGAGAAGAACGGAAGTGGTGCTGCTAGAAAGCAGAAAGGTATAACAGTGGAGGTAAAGAAAAACATAATTATGAAACATGAAAATGGCATTCATGTGTGTGACATCGCTAATGAGTACAGCATGGCAAAATCAACTATCTCCACCATCATAAAGAACAAAGAGTTACTTTCATCTTGAAATGGATTGTCTCTATTTCTTTGATTTCTATGTTTCGAGTAATGAACGCTTCGGGTTACGAACCGAGTTCTGGAACGAATTAAGTTCGTAACCCGAGGTACCACTGTCATTACAAAAATGAATATTAAAGCATATTTAAATTAATCTTAACAAGGCAAAGTTGGACCAATGCAATATTAATCATCAATTTGCTTTGAAAATATTGATACTGAACAGAAATGTATTTATGCCTGCAACATACCCAGCAAAGAAACGATCGGTCGAGTTTGGGGGAAGATTTCCATCCACGTTGACAGATATTTGCTCTCCTTTGCTTCTAGAATAATTCTTGCTAAATGTATCTAGTGCCAATTCCATTTCAATCTTAAGTTTTAATGGTAGAGTAAAGAAATAAATTCCATTTAACTTCAAAACTGGAAACATTTATCTAAATAATAAATATTTTATAAAAAGTAATTCAAATACTCTTGAAATTTTGAAACAATCATAATGGAGAAAGGATATATACAATAAACTAATATAAAACCATTAAAAAAAATTATGCTTCACAAAAATCAAATGAAGTTTTACTTCTGCAGAAAACATAATGCCTTTAGGCATAACGGGCAATTATAGGTCATCAATTTAGCATAAGCCTTTTAAGAAGTAAAAGTTTAATTTCATTGAAATTCAGGGTCAGGTAGGTATGTCTAACTTTTTAAACAGAAAAAACTAAAAGGTGTGCAGTGAACTATAATGAAGATGAGATTGGATGCAGGTAATGATATTTTAGAAAGGACAGAAAATGAATGCATGGAAAAAAAAAAATTTAATATATAAAATTAATTAATTAGCTTTTATCAACATGACTAACATAAAAATGTCACCTTTTTTTGAAGAGGTTTGATTCTAGCTGACAAGTGATCAAAATTACTATATCCCATATTAACTGGACGCAAGGGATACTGCAAAAACAAATCATTACAGAAAATACAATTTATATGTCTTCAATTTTTTGTAAACAATACTTAATTAATTTTATCCTTTTAATTTCTTTGTCTTGTTAGGGTCAAAGCAAAAGGAAAAATATTTAACATTTTAATTACATTTTTCCCCATACATTTGGCTGATAAACAGTTAATAGTTATTCATTAAAAAAAAAAAAACACCATTCATGAACAAGCAAATCATTTACATTGTCAAATAACTTAAAATCTTCAAAATTTCATCATTTACATGAGTTTTTATAATAATAAATATTTAATAAATATTTTAAGCAATGAGCCAATAACATTTTTTTAAAGTGTGGTGAAAACAGGCACCAGTAATCTTAAGTTAAATACCTCTTCATTCATATTTTATAATTTTAAAATACTAATTACCTGCATAAGATAAAGATTATCAGACAGACTTTTGGATAAGAACACATCAATCTAAAAAAACAACAAAAAAAAACATTATAAAATACATTCAAAAAATCTGAAAGGCTGAAATACCCCAAGTAAGGTCACTCCATTATAAGTAGCTGCATTGTAACAATTTAAGGTGCTAAAAATCTAGATTTCCCCGCATGAAAGAACATCAAGTGTTCCAGTGGAAATAGAGATACAAAATAGAAAATGGAGATAGATAGGGCATACAATAAGGAAACCAAACACTAACATCACAAGAGAGGCCCTGAATTGGAATCCTCAAGGTACCAGCAAAGAGGAAGACCAAGAGGCACATGGAAGAGGGGATTATAGGCAGAGGTGAAGAAAATAAAGAATAGTTGGGCTGAGCTAGCAAAGATAGCCTAGGACAGAGACAGATGGAAAACTATTGTGGATAGCCTTCGCTCCATTGGGAGTGAGAAAGGCTAAGAAGAAGAATAAAAATCTAGATAAATGTTTCACGCTAGGGCTATACAAATGTATAACATAAATTAATCTTGAAAAAGACTTTTTAAAAAGGGAAGATTTTAAATAAATATGACTATAACTTACCCTACACATGCTAAGTTTTTAAGTTTTACAACATGAGTATCAGTCATTCGAATTAAGTTAGGCCCATTTTGCGTAGGGCTAACAAGAAAATATGTTAAAAATTAGCGCTAGACCCATATAACTCAAAATTACTTTTATGTCCTGATTCATCATATTAAAGTTGAAAGCACAACCATGCTGAACGATAAGGAGTAATGAATTAAAGATGTCTTGGTTCTTTCTCTTGGTTAGTTTTTAACCCAGGCTGCACATAACTCACTTCATTCTTCAAAAGTTCAAGTCAAGTGAAAGTTAAACAAGTAAAAGTAAACTTTCCATTTTTATAGTTTAAAAGTAAAAGTCTAAGTTGCAACAGTTTACCAGTACAGTGATACCTTGGAATCCAAACGTAATCTGCTCCAGAAACCAGTTCAAATTCCAAATCGTTTGAGTTCCAAGACAATTTTTTCCCCTTTAAAATAATAGAAACTGGATTAATCCTTTCTTGCCTTGTGTCCCTTAAACTTGAATTTTCAAAATTAAAGTTCTTAAAGTTCCCCAACTGGCTTTAAGACTACTACTTTTTAGCACTAGTATCAGGGATGACTTTCACTATATTATCATGAAGGACTTTTGGTTCCCAACTAATTATAAATGTCTCAGAAATCAAATCACCAGACAGCCACTTTTCCTTAATCCAAACTAATCATACCAACAGACAAAGTCTGCATTCCAAACTTCAAACATAATTGTGAGATAACTCACATGTGCAACATTTCCATGCTTAGCGATAATATCTTTCTTAACTTAAATATAGCTATAACAGCTTTCCTCTTACTCTTATTTTTTTCTCCCTACACCTTTTAGGACCCATGTTGAATACCCTTTGTAAAGTTGTTATTATATAAAAAATAACACAAAACAGGCTCAAAATCAAAAGCATAAAATTAGCAGCAAAAATCACACAAGATGATTCCTCTGCAGGTAGGTTACATCTTCTGACAACAAACTAAATGACAAATTATATGGGTGGCCCAAGCGATGGTAAAATGTATCCACAAAACCTCACAAACAATGTGCTGGGCATTTGGATTCCAAATCGTTCGGATTTAGTAAAAAAAAATTTCTGGGGTATTTCTCATTCCGATTCTAAGTTGTTTTAGTTCTAGGGGATTCGGATTCCAAGGTATCACTGTATGTATTTACTGCTACTACCCTTTCCTGAACTAATTTCTGCTGTTACATTAAAAGTAGCAACTTTATTGTATCTATCTCTATATGCGGAAAGGACTCTCAACCACCTGTGGTCGCTCCCTTGCCTAAGTATCACTAAAATGTGTGCTACACAAACACACTGTGATGAGAAAATCGTAAAAATGAAGAAAAAGAATATTTTTTAAAAATTCAATATAATAAAAACCCAACTTACAGGCTCATTTAATACACTTTTAAACACTTAAATACAGATTCTACCGAAAATAAAATCCAAAAGATTTCATGAAAGTAACAATCCATTTTTCAAAAATGATCTGACCGGCAAAATAGCCAGGCATTTTTCATTGAAATATTACAATTAACAATGCTTTGAACTATTGATTTGAAAAGTCATCAATCAAAACATTTTATCAGCATTGATATAAAAATAGAAAGAAAAAATAACTCTGTTAATATTAACAATTGATGACTAAATAGGGGTGTTCACTCATACACAGAAACACAGGGTTATACCTACAGTAGTACTGTAAAATTAAGTTGCAACGTTCGCCACTGACGAATTGTAGGCTTATCGCTTATTTTTATTTGTTTCAAATTAAACCAAACTGTCTCCCTGTTCTCTCCCCATATTTTTTCTCCTGCATTTACTCAGTGTTTTAATAGAGTTTTGGGTAACACACATTTGACAGTCCACTGCTGCCATGGTAGCCAAGATGTTAAAAAAAAATAAAAAGTAGTACGGTAACCAATATCTTAATATGAATGTAAGGTAAATTTGGAGAGATAGCACCGTGGCCGCCATCTTGGTTGCCACGACCCACGAACTTTATTTCCTAAATCTATCCCTAAACCTAACCTGAACCCTAAACTAAACTTATCCTTAACCTGGGTTTTGACCCTATCGGAATAAGGGTTGTGACCCTATCGGAAACAGGGACAAAACTTGCTACCAAACTTGCAAATGACGTCAGGTTGCTATCTCTCCAAATTAGCCGAATGGAATTATATAGGGTAGGATAATAGGGTAGGATTGTAGGGTGGTACGGGCGGTAGAGTAAATTTACCACCATTTTATTATGCTACTAATTTTAGGCAGGCAGTTTAGAATGTCGCTTCTTCACACAACTAAAATTTTTAAGTGAGTTAATCAAGTTGCTTTGAATCATGAAAAATTCATATTCTGAATATCAATATGAATATTATTGACAAATATTGATTTCATCATGAATTCTGTCTGAAAATGAAAATCATGGATCATGGCCATGCTCACGAGTATCTTCTCTAAGTTCTGTCAGTTTAGTAAAACCATTGAAAATGTATTAATTGATTTATTTATTACCTCATCAACAACTGGATCGTCATCCTCACTGTCGGTCATGGTTATGATGCTAAGACTATAAATCTTGGATTAATAGTGTCTTATTTTTCAGCAAAGCATGACATGTAGCCATTCAATATAACATATTTATTAGTGACTCGATTGACTCGATTACTAGAAATATTTTGTACTGCTAGTGTAGATCATTGACCTTTTTGTTTTTCGTTCTTTAACTAGTGGTATTAGTGGGAAGAAATTAAATGACATTTTAAAAAATAATTTTACTGAAAATTTAGCTTTATTTTAAAATTTAATTAAACAAAATGGTTCTATAAACTTTTTTTATTTCTTGAAAATTTATTTTGTTTTCAGTTCGTTATAACCGTAATCTAAATAAATAAATGTGTGCACAATGAAAGTATGCTAGGGCTAGAGCAAGTAGCGTTCAGCCCTAGTAGGCCTAGGCCAAGGCCTGAGTTGTCAAGTCAAAGTAATTAAATATGGAATAATAAAATGATTAGTCTATTCTTTTTATAATGTTATATTTAATTTTCATGAATAAAATTTATGTCTCGTCTTTTCATACTTTTGACAAATAACCAGAAAAAACAATAAAGAAAATAATGATAATGTTATAGCTTTAATTTTTAAATGAAATATATAAACAATGACTGCCTAAAAAAAAGCGTTTTTAAATTTTATTTTTCTTGTGGCACTCTTTAAAATTCTATTTACCTCCGTGTCCCCTCCCCTTTTTTAAAATCTGTTATCTATTTTTTTAAAACGTTTCCTTTTTGTACATTAAGTCAGTCCCTTTTTCAAAGGTTTCGCCCCCCCCCAACCCGGCCCACCCCAATATATACGATGCGCCCCCTTCCGAGGGGGCCAAATGGGCCATTTTTGGGAAATTATGGCCTAAAACTTTCAGAAAACAATGTGCCCGTTGAAGTCAATATTAGCAAGGGAAGATGTGAGACTTGTGCAAAAAGATTAATGAATGAACGGGCCATAACTTTAACAACAGTAATAGCAACAACAACTGGTTGCAGAGTCTGGGCATACGCAAATGTCCCGTGCAGCGTGGCTGGTACTGGATGCCAGTACGATTAGCCTTTAACGGTGTCTTGTGGTGTGGAGGATCTTTGAGGCTCATTGTGGGAAAGTGTTTCAGCTTCCTCGCTTGGCCATGGAAATCTGACAAAGTTTTATTAGCAGTAAAAAAAAAAGTGTTGGGGAGCACATCAGACAAGTGTTGTAGGTAGACACTTAGACTTAGTGGGCTGAATCGTCTCATTGTCCAGAAGTTGTTGGACATTCTTCCCAAGATTCTACTGGTGCTTACAATGTGAATCTTCATCTCATCATCAATGACGACTCTTTTTTTTTGCAGAGTGCTGCCATTGTAAGTGAAGTTCTGTTTACCAAACTGAGTCTCTGGTATCAGTTATGTTGTGCTCCACATTAGGTGCTCCAGAGGCTAGATAGTGCAGAGTTTTTGATTTACTTCTTGTTGATTGTGAAACCGGAGCTGGTGCAGACATTTGATCACAGCTGTTCTTAGTCATAGGTAAACTAGCATACCGCCTAGGGCCCCACTGCCAAGAAGGCCCCACCGGGTACTTTTTTTAAAGCCTACAACTTGCAAGTCCATATATTTCAGAAGTACAAATTGTCCCTAATGGTGGAATTATCAGTATGGTTAGTGTTTACACATGCACGAAGTGGATGATCAGTGCCAGCCCGATGAGGCCCCACCCATCACTGCGGCACCTCCATTCTGCCTTCGTTACTGTTTCCTATTTGCTCACTAGGCCACCTATATACGCTCCCCACCCCAAATCCTAAGAACGGCTCTAATTTGATAAATTGTGAAACACTGCCTTGCATATAAGCCACCGACCCAGCACAAAGGGTTCAGTCATCAGAAAACAGAAACTACTCGATAACGTGAGGTATAACTTGGATTTTTACTTGTAAGGATCAAATTATATTGTTTTCCATCGGTGTTCGATGCCGATTCCAATCATCATTGCTTCCTCCACTAACACACATATTCTGGTGAAGGTCTGAGATTACTCTCTTACCCTGGCTAGTAAATTGGCTTTCAACTCCATCTGTTGAGCTGAGCCATACAACAGTTTCCTCATAAAGGGTCCTCCAACCACCCTGGCTTCCCCCACCTCCACTTAAAGCATCGGCCGGCGTTTTGGAAGACATCGGGTTGAATGATGTGGTGTTTGGACGCAAACCGGGACCCGTTTGCCAACCAGAGATGGGAATTGAACTCCCCTTTTAACAACTAAATTTCGGGTTCGGTCCAGTAATCACTAAAGTTCGACGCGTTCTATAATTATCTTGGTTGTGGATGGAACGTTACTTATTTTTTTGTTTGTTCACACATGTTAAACTTTAAATTTCTCGTGCAGCGTTCAGCCGTTGAACGGCTGGAAAAGAATCCTGGGTCGATGGATGAGGGTTGACACTGTCGCTGAAATTACCATGGTTGACCGCTTCTGTTTCGCGGTTGAGTGAATCTCAGATACCTTGTTTTATGCTTTGGTCAAGAGTTAAGTCACTTCAACTAGGATTTTGTAAGCATTCGATGATTACAAAAGTATATAATTCTGCTTTTGTCGACAATTTAAATTATTTCAATCTTAATACTAAAAAGTGGAAAAGAAAAATATTTTTTTTAAAATTAAAAAGACTTTCTATCAAAGACGCGTTAGAACCACTAAAAAGTAGAAAATAATTTACAATTTCTTAAAATGAATTCGCAAAGCAAGTCTGCGGATATTTAAAAAAAAAAAAATTAATAAAAATAAAACATATTTAAGTTTTTTCTACATTTCAGTCGAATACTTTGGCTGTATAGAGTTTTAATCAACACAGCTGCAAGTCTTTCTGTGCGTAATATTTTAAAGAAATTGTAAATTATTTTTTATACCTTTTAGTGGTTTTAACTCGTTTTTGAAAGAATTTTTAAAGAAGTTTTGATAAATTTTTATTTTTTAAATGCATGAGTTTAGGCATTTAGACTATACCTTAGTCATGTGATGTCAATATCACGTGACAAATCTGTTTTTCGTCGGAAAAAGGAGTTAATCAGGATGTGCTTGCAAAGAAACTCCAATACCCATACTGTCATTAGATTTGTTCTATGAACTGTCAAGTTGGTATTCATTTTAACCATGGATGAAAGAACACCACTAATTAAGAATCAAGAAGTATCAACCGGTGATAATGGTGTAAGCAACCGAAGATCTCATAATGATAAAACCTTCAGAATAACTGTAAGTGTAAGCAAAGATAGTAAGACTTGTCAAGAGTCTCAGAGTAGCCTATGTCCTAGTCCTATGTGACGAGCGAATCATTCGCTTTCGCTCTTCACATACTCTTACTCTGAATTACTCTTAGTACATTATGATAAGGTTTGCGATGCGCTGAATGTGATATAATTTAACTTAATAATTAGTCCGGTATACAGGTACCCTGGTAAAAGTGTAGTTCAGGTGCGTATATTATTTCTGTTTGAATCTCTTATTTTCCCGTGTAAACTTATGTTAATTCTTTATAAAAAGTATTTTAAAAGTTATATACCATCTTTTTATTGGAATACAACAACAATTTAACAAATTTTACGAGATAAAAAAGTACATTTTTATGAATCTTTCGTGTTTAACGGAGACGTTGTGGTAAATCAAAGATAACTCTTCTGTCTTTAAAGACACTTTATAAAAGTTGCCCAATTGGATGAATCTAGTTAAAATAAATGATGTATTTATTTTATAACTTTACTATCAACTATAACCGGAGTTGCCCTGGACTGCATTCAGAAAAAAAACATCTGCTACGTCCTTTTAGTTCACATTGTTACTAAACGAAATGTCAAAAACAAAACAACACTATAGTAAAAAAAATAATAATTAATTTGTCTCCTATAAAAACACTTAAAATAACTTATGTAAACTTTTCGTTTTTCCCGTTTTCCGATGGCACCCGGAAGGATCATGATGGGATCCCGAACCCGATGTGATTCCGATAGAATCCTGGTCATGGTGGGATCCCGATCCCGGTAAGATACCCATCCCGGTGAGATCTGTTTCCGGTGGTATCCCAAACTAAATGAGATCCCAATCCGGTGGGATCCCGTTTCGGTGAGATTCCGATCCTGATAGGATTTTGATTCAAGTGTGATCCTGATCCCGGTGGGATCCCGATCCAGTGGGTTACCGATCCCGGTGGGATACCGGTTACGGTGAGATCCCATTTCGAGTGAGATCCCGTTTCGGGTGATATGCAGATCCCGGTAATTATAGGGAGCTCACATACTTGACATACGAACCCAGCTTACAAGCCACATTGCAATTGTTACAAGCGCCTTAGGAGAAATTCCAGTTGTATTAACGTTATTTGTTGCCCGACAAGGTGCGCGTTTAAACCAAATGCTGCATCATTTAAAATGCCTGTTGCATCAACAATTTTAGTTATTGTTTCTTGGTCGTCCTGCCATTTTAAACAACATGATCCTACAACCAGCAATACCGCAAAGCCAAAACGAGTCCGTCTTATAATATAAAAAAATAATCACTAGCCCTCACTTTACTCAGCGCAAATCAGTCACCATTAATAAGAGCATTTGCATACGAAAAAAGAGGAGGGGTAGTCAAATTAGAGATGACCTATCACGGACAGCGTATTAGCAGCCTTCAGGATGAGATGACTATCAAAATGACCCCACGCTATCATTCCGATTTCCCCCATTTGTGCAACGTCACAAATATATATTTTTTTAAAGTGGACACGTGATCACACATTGGCACGTATTCGTGCACCCTCCGCCCCCCTCCTTTTCTTTTTTCAGCTTCCCTCCAGGTCCAGGACAATGATGACGTGTGTGTCCACTGCCTTAGTCAGTGATCCACTTCTAATCCCCCCTCCCCCCCCCCCCCCCCCCCCCCCCCCTCAAAGGCCACCCCCCTTCCCCCCCCCCCCCCCGGTTGAAAAAAAAAAANGAAAAATCTAGTATTTCATTCTTTTTTGTGAACATGCTTACAGTTTGAAAATTTCCTTTAGCATACTAACTTATAGGTGGCTAATAATCTGGCATAGAGTGAAAAGAAAAATACAAACAAATGGGGCTGTCTCACTTTGGTTGGGGGAAGGTTAAAGACGCTTTAGAAGTAAAATAAAAAGAAAAGATGCGACTTATAATTCAGAATTAGTTAACTATAACTGCCTGTATTTAATTATTAAAGAATACACGTAAGTTTACATGATAAAAAAAATTTAAAATACGAAATGCGTTAAGAAATAATATACTCACCTGAACTGCACTTTTACCGATACCCTTTAGAGCCCTTTACCCTTGCCCTTAAAGTTAGTGGCCTTAGCCTAGCCCTAGACTTAGACCTAGTCTTAGTAGTAGTAGTAGTAGTAGTTAGTAGTAGTAGACGTAAAACAAATAAAATAGAGTAGAAGAAGAGGTACATAGAGGTAAGTATAAGTCTTAAGTCAGGTAAGCAGTTAAGGACTGCGTTCAAGCTATGTGAAGGAAATAGAAGATCAAGTATTAGCCATTTCAAGTTTCTACATACCTTGTTCTTCTTACTTAGTTTAGTCTACTATTAAAGTCTATTTATTTATTTAGGCATTTTTATATAGTGCTTACCATAAAGCTCTAAGCGCTTTACAATAGCTCTAAGCGCTTTACAATTATTGAAAACATGTAAACTAAGTAAAATAAAAATGAGACACTAGGATAGTAACTACTATACTATAGAAACAATGAAAATTTACAGCCCCCTGAAGTTTTCTTATAGTTAAAAGGAGCCCATAATCCAAAAATATTTAAGTCAGGTAAGCAGTATGACTAATACTAAGAGTGTGGTCATGGTCAGTGTAGAGTAGAGTAGCGTTACTGCCTTTTGCCTTTTCTCTTTACTGTTTACTCAAGTTAGCTCAAACTCAGATTAAATTTACTGACATATAATTTTAATTTTAAGATCTATTTTTGGAGTCTCAGAATTTAGGATTTACACTTTTAATTATTAGACTTAGACGATTTATATTTGTTCATTAAATCGTATCCCTTTATCTCAATTAAATATAGTATATAGCCTTGAATAGATTGGTGAACAGTAGTAACGAATTATATGCCCAGAGACCTAATATTTATATTGAAATTAAACAGTATATACTATATTTGTTGGAAATTGACAAAATGCTGAATGTTAACTACACATTGTTTTGCACCCCACATTATTTATTGTGTTGTGACATCATGTTTTTATGCCGTCTTGTCTAGTGCTCCATGTTGGTAGTACTCCATGTTGTTCTCCTACATAAAATTTAACTAACCTTGATGGTTGCCTCTGCTTGTTTGAATATCTTCCTTGTGAAGTACCTTTGCAACTTAATATTTTCAACAATATTTTCTATTTTTCAATAGTAAATCCACCTTTAATTAATGTACACTTTAACAATTTGCAGGGAAATGTAGTCAATTTATCACCTCAAGATCATAATCAAGATGGAACAGACAATGAAATCATCACTAGTGACACCTTTGCTAATAATAGAGGAGATATGGAAAAGGCAAATCAAGATATTAAAATTGAACAGGAGCATATTCTGAAAGTTGGTTATCAGGTTTGTGCTTGCAAATAAAGCTTAAAAAACATATGGATATCTTAAATAAGCTGTAAAGAAATAAAATGTATTTCTGATCAACAAAAACCATAACAATTCTTTAATAGAGTAGAATAAAATATGTTATTCCAATTTGAAGCGTATATGATAATTTTTGTGTTACATTAGTAGTTGTAAGGCAAACTGAGTTTTAACCCCAATAGACTGTTACTTCTCTGATTATTTAAAAATTTTTAAAATAAATATTATTTTCTCATACATATTTCCTGGGTCAAAATTTAAAATTGTCCATAAGTTGAACTGCTTTGTGAATAACTCTTTTAAATGCTATCAGGGATGGAATTTAAAATGATAAGAAGAGAAATGTGATTTTTATATTAATTGTTCATCTAGTCATTATTGGGTTTAAAATAAACAACAAAATACAAGTGAACTTAAAAAATTTGAAGTTTTTGGTTAAAAGCTTTTATTAGTAGATCTACTTAGACAGGAAGATCTTTTATACAAAAGGATAGATATTTCAACGAGAAAGTCACTTTTAAATTTTTAAAATTCAGGATAAGCAAATTAAAATGTGTAAATTGTAGTAGCATCATCCAATGCTTAATACTAGCTTTTGCTAAATATTATAACTAATAGTGAAAGCCATTTTATCATTAAAAATAAAGATTAAGGTTAAACCATTTAAGATTTACTGGGGACATTGGATTCAGGCTGAAAACACATCCTTCTATTTTATCTGCCTACAAATGCTATCAAGGTCTCCCAGATGAACCTACCTCTACCTTCACCACTCAGTCTCAGTATCTCCCAATATCACTTCCTTGCCCCTACCTTCAACACTATCTCCAAGCCTCTCCCACACTGTGCTTTATCAATTTTCTCCACCCCACAACCTCTTATATTTGACACTATTTAAGTGCAATTTATCTAACTCACATAGTTTATTGCTATTAACTAGGGTTTAACCAGGTGTGTTTTTTTTACAACAGGTCCTGGTATTTTGAGAAAATACCTGGTGGGGGTCCAGGTGTTACAAAAATTAGAGTTAACTTCTCATTTTCTATAATATGCAACGAAATCTACTGCCTTATTTTGTAGTGAGAGTGCATTGCCTTCGTCAACCATTTGTGTCACGAAATAACCCAATGATATGAACAGGCATTTGCCGGATCCAAAAAATAGAGATGACGTTGTACATCAAATCCATCGACAGAGAAGATTCTGTCGTTCATTTTATAACAAAGAAATATGAAAAAAAAGTCACAGTATTATGAAAATAGCAACCTATTTACCAGTGATCAGAAGTTACCCATAAAGCTCGCTGTATCAGAAGTTACCCATAAAGCTCGCTGTATGAAAAAGAACACAAACAATAACAAAACCGAATAAAATTTGCACCCCCTAAAGAAAAAAAATCAATCTATTTACTAGAATTCAGAGGTCGCACATGAAGCTCGCTCTGTGACAGCCTTTTTTTTTCACTCAGGACCATTGAAATAAAACATGTGGAGTTGGGGAAGCCGGCTGGTTTTGTAGAGGAAGCAGGACAAACCAGAAGCAAAGTCTATGTAAGAGATTCCTTATAGTCTACAATCCACTCACCAGAAGAAAATTTATAAAAAAAAAGTGGTCCTGAAATACTGGTTGCCCCTAACATTGTCAATACTGTCATACATAAATAAAGCATTGGCAACCTGCTTATTCATTTATGAACAATTTCTTTTCCAAATCTACAGATGACTCAAATAAAAATCTATATTTTGAAAGTAAAGCTTCTCTATAAAGACAGAAAACAAGCAGTACCAAATTCAAAAGAAAAAAAAAAAGCGAGCGAAGAGGGTGTTGGGGGGGATGGGGGTGTGTGCGGATTGCGATCAGGTGAAGAGAAAGAACATAAAGAGCTTAAAATAGGGAGAAACCTGAAAACAAGAAGACAAATTGAAACTGAGGTGTCATCAAACAGGATAATAAATGAATGACTGCGTTCAAACCATGTGAAGAAAATTGTAGAACAGGTATGTGGACCCTTGAATCGAAAGACAGGGACAATAAGATACAAACGTTTCACCTTCATCAGCAGGCAGGAAAAATGAAAATACGACAAGAAATAGAAACTAGTTAAAAACTTTTGTGATCACCATTGTTATTGCCAGAAGTTGGATTTTCCAAAATCAAGATTACAGGAAGTGAAAGAATTTAATATTCTTTTACTTCCTTTTACATATCTATTTTTAACCTAATCTCACTTTACCAACTTTCAATGGGATCCCACATGGATTCAAATGTTTACTAGGGAATTAATCATATAGGATATATAGGCATTCTCAAGCATCGGAGTTCACTAATAATTGTTGAGCACCAGATAATGTGTTTTATGTGCACTATTTGTTGGAGTCCCGTAAGGCGCATACAATGTCAATTCCTGCAACCGTACCCATCCCTGGTCGTCTTGACGTAGAGTCTTGCCACTAGATATGGTGGGCTCGGACGAGAGAGTGAGGTTGACGCTGCGCAGCTCTTCCTCACTTTAAACAAAAGTCACCCGCGCAAGTCATCAGTCACCAGACGACTCGATGGTCATCGTCGATCCTCGACGGACGAACAACACATTTGTTAAAACACAAGTCACAAAAATGTAACATTTGAAAACTGAAAAGCAATCATCATGAGCTACATGATCTTTAAAAAAAAATATTAAAAAACTGTCTTCTGCTTGAGCATAAAGTACTTTAACTTTTTCATATTTATTCTTCCAGAGTCTTGACTATGAAGTTTCAGATAACTTAGTATACCAAAATGAAGAAAGAGAAAAAAGTTCGAAAAGATGGGTAGGTTGATTTTACAATCACATATGACGAGAATTAAGATTTCTTAATAGCATTCCCTTGTTTAAGGCTGTGAATTATTTCCAATACAGCATTTATTTTTGAGTTAGTTGTGACATGTTAAAGATTTGTGTCCTACCAATAGTAAGCTTATTTAGTAGTTTTCAATAACAGAACCACATGTCCTCTTTCAGAAGAATCTTGTTTATTTAATAAAATTTACTGCATGAGACTTGCACTATTGAATTATTTGCATAATTCTCAACATTTCAATCAAGAAACTGATTTAATAGGAAAATTGTACTCTGTAAATTAAAATGTATTTAATGTTCACAGAAACTTTACTGGCGAGGAGTGAGAAGATGGATAATCTGCTTCCTGATTGGTGTTTTCACCGGTCTTACAGCGGGGCTTATAGATTTTGGTGTTGAACAATTGTCAGGCTTAAAATTCGAGTCCGTCTCAAAAAGTATCCTTTTATTACACGAATAAATGAAAGTATCAAAAGACTAGACATTAATTTTTAAAAATTAATATTTGAAGGTTCTTGTGAGACTGAGTGAACAAAATTGAAATGTTTATTTACAATTAATTTATGTTAAAATGTCATATAAAATCCTTAAAACAATCAAAAGCAGGCATCTTGTGAATTCCTCATATAATATGGAAATAAGTATTTTCTGTTGCAAGTTGTCTTAGCCTAGGAGTCAGTATTTATTTATTTTTTAAAAACAGTATATAAATGACGCAAATTCCTGATGTGGATAATTATTTACTGTTTTTTAATATTCATTTTTGATTAAGCCGAACGGAATAATGTTTAAAAATGAATGATTTATAATTTTCTTTAATGCCTGCATCAGTGGTGGATCGCTGCGTTATTTTAAACTGTATGTATACACCACAGATTGTGTGGTTTTCATTCAACATGGGTCTAGTCTTAATTGGATCTCTTCTCACGACATATGTTGAGGTAAATGTTTTACTTTACAATAGGAAAAAAGAAATTGTTTATACATTCTGATAAATTGCATCTCTTGTTACAAATAAGTTGATGCTTTGCTAATTATTTATAACAACAAATTTGAAAACATAAAAAAACAAAAATTATAGCTGTGGTTAAAGCAATTATAAAAGTATAATTAAATTTTGTTTTTTATGAAATTACAAAGATTAATTTTTAAAAACATAATGTTTTTAATGAAAAACCTGTGCATATTAGTATTTTTAGCATGATTTATTAGAGAAAGTGTAATTCATTTCTCTGTAGCCTGTGTCAGCGGGCAGTGGCATCCCTCAAATTAAGTGTTACCTCAATGGTGTTATTGTGCCTCATGTTGTCCGGCTGAAGACACTGATCACAAAGGTCATAGGGGTGATGTGTGCTGTGGCGGGGGGTCTTGCAGTTGGAAAGGTATTGTATGCTTCAGTATCTACAATATAATTCGTGTTATATTTTATACTGTTTTGGCCTACACTGTTTTGACAAAATTTCCATGTCAAGCTTAATTGTTTTGCTTTTTAAAAATTTCTTATCTATTTATCTCTCACATACCAGTTAAGTTCTATTTTCATTAAAAAAATAATTTGCATAGTTTAAGTAATGGTTGTTTTATCAATTAACAAACTGAATTTCATAATAACTCTGCAGTGTTCTTTGATTGATATTGTCATTTTTAAAGATCTATAGGGTGTATCTTGAATGCTGTTTTCAGATTTGTACACCAGAAAATAGAATAGGCTGTGATCAGTTTTCTGAAATTAGCAAAGCACTAGTCAATATACCTGGCTTTGCTTGGGGTTGTATTTTAAAAAAAACAACTTCTAAAGCGTTATAAGAGTACACATAAATTTAGGGCCCTATCAAAAACACTTAATAAAGTACCAATTAAAATTTATTTTTACTTCTATGACAAAAAAAAGATTGATAATTTTTCTTGTATACATTGAATTTGGGGCCCAGCCCATTTCAGTTAATATTCAAGCTGGGAACAGCCAAGAAACCCTAATTTAAAGACAAATCTAACCTTTTAACGATGTCTTATTAAAAAAATTTATTCACCAACGCCAAAGATGTTGCCTTTTAAATGTTTACTATTGGGGCCGCTGGTGCCTTAGTCTTTTAATATTTACAGCAGTAAGTATTTTAGGTTGGACAACGAACAAACTTTATTTAAAAAATTGTTCCATTAAAAGATAAAAGTGTTTCATTTAAATATAATTGGGCGCCATCCAGCACAAAAAGATGTGGATAAAATTATTAGTTTGAAATCCACCAATATTTTAATATTAATTATGAATTGGCCTAGATACAACAATTTACATAGAAGCTTGCATTGTAACATAATCTTCTCATTTAGCTTGGCTATTATAAGGAAAATACATTGTAGAACCTTCTACACTCATTTGGAACTTTCTAGAAACTTCAAAAATATCTTTAAATATGATTTCATAACATTTGAGGAAAATCATAGAGACTTATAGCAATATAAGAAACGTAAAACGAAAATATTTGTAATCTCAAAACCCTTATTAAAAAATCGAACATTTTAGAATAAATTAGAAACTTCAAGAAACTTTAAAAAAAGATTTTTTTAACGGATACTTGTTAAATTCCTAGGAAAGTATATAATCTAAAAAACTAAATGTAAATTTAAATATACTTTTAGATTCCATTGAGATTTTTATAATTTTTATATCCTCTTGTAAGAATATAGAACTTCCTGGAAAATTCTCTCTCTTTTTTTTAAAAACCTTCAAATAATTTTTTTCAAATTACTCTTTTATGTTATCATTATTTCAAGACTAGAACATCTAAAACAAAATGCAGTAATTCTACAAGTTTTCCATTCAATTTAAAATAAGGGAACTAGTAGGAACCCGTTCTATAAGGTGACATTTAATGGTTGCTGTCCATTGTTTGGTTTTCTTGTGATTAATTGACCCATTAACAGACAAACATAGTTACACTGAGCCTTATAACGTAGTTTAACCATCAAGCCTCAAATTTCTTTTCCTCACCACAGGAAGGTCCAATGATCCACTCAGGTGCTGTCATTGCTGCAGGTGTTTCCCAAGGGAGAACCACTTCCCTAGGCTGGGACTTTAAGGTAAAACTATTACAATTATTGAAACATCTCAAGCCCTGAATTGTATAAGCATGAATTTTTTATTTTCTCATAAATATATATATTCTATAAGAATAATCTAATTTCACCATATAATGGTGAGTTCAATAGCACACAAAATAAAATACCCTATAACTGCAAAAAAATGCATGTAAATTTGTATTCAATAGCCACACAAGATAAAATTCAATTTCAAGTCAGATTCTTAAAAGCACAAAGTCACATTTGAAAAATATTTTTGAATCCATTTAAATCTGATAAAATAAATATGTAAGTATATGTAATATTTATTTAGTAGATATTATAATAAAAGAATTATAAATAAATTTAATGTAATATTTAAAGAAATGTTTTATGTATTTCATCAAAGTGTGAGAGTTAAGGTACTGTATAAAATGAGATATGATAATTCTTTACAATTATATAATTTTTTCTTATAGTGCTTTAGTCTTGAGCAGGCCTGCACAAAGTACGGCCCACCAGCACGCACTTGCGGCCCGCGAAGTAACGAACTATTCTTTATTTCTATTATTTTCTTAATAGCTTTCCCCCGTCCTATTTTCATTTAGCCCGCAAAGTCCTGTCCTATTTTCTATTGGCCCGCACAAGTTTTTCATAAAGTATTACGGCCCACCTCACATTTTGAGTTTTGCAGGCCTGGTCTTGAGTATCAGAAGGGAAACTCCAAAAAAGGACACGACTGTTTTTTCCCCTCTTTTTTCCCCCTTTTGAGACATCTGTGCCAATTTATCAGCCAAAAGAGTCAAATTGAGAAAAAGACAAAAGGCAGATCCATCTGCCCAACAATACAAGCCTTGAGATTGACTGGCTGGCTGGTCTTCGTACCACAAATCAGTTTGCTTCTTGCATTTCTTTCTCATCTCACCATTTTAAGGGTGGCTTCCATTGATAGTTTACGGTTTCTGTCATTTTAAATGAATTTCTTTTGTACCTAGTGACGCCTATAAATGCCAAAAAAATATATGACTGTGAAATATACCAAAAGGAATATTTTATGCAATTTTTCACATTGCATCTCATTCAAATGTTTGTTAAAATAAAGCAGAAAATTAAAACAATTTCTGCAAGCAAGACATGTTAATTCTAAGTTACAAAAAGTTGCTTGCATGAATTATGTGAATCATGGTATTTCATTTGCATAAATGTTGAGGTTTCAGTTTGATTCATAAAGATCATATTAGTTCATTCAATTTCCTACAAGAATATATATAGTTTTATATTTGTAAATTAATTACTTTATTTTTAAAGAAATTTTTGCAAATTAAGTGAAATCTTGGCACAGGAAGTCCAAAAAATGCTCCATCTCAAGAGGATTAAATAAATGCAATAGCTTGCTTTTAAATTGTTAACTAATTGTTTAACACACCATGTCAAATTTAAGCTTTGCATCTTTAATATTTAAAAAGTTTTGATCATAATATTTCTCTCCAAAAGTTTGCATTTATAAAATCTATGAAGAAAGAAAAAAATTTAAAGTTTAAAAAATATTTAGCTAGGAACTTTGCGACATTATTTTACTAGCAAGAAATTATCTGCTGTACCATTTTAACTTTTGATCCCAATATATACTGTACTCTTGTGTTCTTCTGAAGCCAGTTGCAAATTATATGTGTTGCTTAACATTTTTAAACTAAATAAAATGTGAGATTCGCAGAGTCTTCTACCTCATTTTGTACCATGGTAGAACTGTGCTGACGATACAGCTGATGGGAAGCATTCCAAGCATCTAATAAAAAAACTCAAGGTCTTTTCAGTTTTTTTAGCAAAAACCATGTTACTTCCATGGCTGTATCTGTGCAGTCTTTCTGCAATTTTTTTAGCTTCATTTCCCATGACTAATGAAACTTTTACTACTTTGTTTTTTTGTACTCTCCTCCTCATCAGATTTTCCAAGAATTCCGAAGTGATACAGAGAAACGTGACTTTGTGTCTGCTGGTGCTGCAGCTGGTGTGTCTGCTGCTTTTGGTGCCCCTGTAGGGGGTGTACTGTTCAGTTTAGAAGAAGGAGCCTCTTTTTGGAATCAGTCTCTTGTCTGGAGGATAGTAAGTGAAATGTTGAAAGAACACAGAACAATAATTATTGAATTTAACTTCAGTAAAAAAAAAAATTTTTTTGTGAGCCCTCTTTCATTATTGGAGTAAAAAAAAAATATTCAAAATGTTTTTGTCCTGATATTATTTTTAGAAGCTGTAAATATAGTGTGATGTAAAATTGTAATATTAAAACATTTTTACTCTGAATTGGAAATGTAAATCGGTAAGGCATAATATCACTCCTATTTGTGATATTAATTGAATTATTCAGTTTAAAATAGTAAAATTGTATATAAAAAGCTTCATTTTAGTTTCATTAATAATATAACATGTCTTTTTCAGTTTTTTGCCTCAATGATATCTACAATGACCTTGAACATTGTACAAAGTTATATAAAGGGTCATCCTTGGGAGCTCTCATATGCTGGTCTCATCAACTTTGGAACTTTCGATGTAAGTGTATTGAAAGATAATTTAAGTCTTGTGTTAATAATTTAACATAAATTGTTCAAGGCCTTGAAATTATGTGTTTTAAATTGTATTAATTATTTGAACCTATGCAATTTTTTGAACTGAAAAATACACCTTATGGCTATAGTCATGGAACTTTCCTCATAAAATTGCTACTTCAAGCTGTCTAATGGCAGTTAACAGCATAAGGAAAAACTTAAATGGCAACGAAATCAGATCATGCTATTTTTTAATTTCATGTTTTCAGTTTAAACTAAGAACTTAAATGGTGAGTAACACTTTGACTTGAGATCTAATAATACAGCTCGTAATTTTGAAAATAAATATTTACTTTTTACAACAAAAACTTGCTCATTTCCATTTTTTCCCCTCAGAATGTCAGTTACTCCCATTCGTTTGAGCTATTTATTGTTGTGTGTATGGGAGCTATTGGTAAGTTGATAGAACTTTTGACTACAAATGTCCATATACTTGTGTATAAAGGAGCTTAATGAAATTGCTGTAAGGAAAGAATTACGTTTGAGTATATTTATTGACCAATGAAATCTTATAGTTTATCCATTGATGTTTTTATGGTTAACTTTCACCAAGTGAAAATCTTTGAAGCATAATTTCATACTTTACATCGAGCTTGTTTTTAGATATCTAATTTTTTTAGACATCCCATGGATGTCCTTAAAATTAACTAGTGTAACAATAAATCCTGCTTACATAATCTGTTTATATAAATTTGTAATAAATTAGATTTGTCTTTGTCCAATTACATAACATTTATAACTTTCCTCACCAGGTGGCCTGCTTGGTGCTTTGTTCAATCAACTCAACTTGAAGCTTACCATGTTCAGAATGAGGTTGGATATTTATTATATGATTTTGCACTAGTGCAACAACAATTAATAATTTTTTTTGTCTGATTTAATATTAATATAATATATCTTATTTATATGAGAAGAAGTTTCATCAAGCTGGGTCCAAATACTCTAAAACTGGTACCATATTAACTTCCCAGATAGGCGTCCTTGTCATTATTTATAGACTTCAATAAAAGCTTTAATTTATTTCCTCCACGTGCACATAGGTTTTGAATATTTATGAAGATAAGATGAGGCATTTCAGCTCATGAACTTTGTACTTAAAAATGTTAAGTGATAGACCTGCTTGTTCATTATTTCACCAGGTTTGTTCAGAAGAAGTGGCAGAAAGTTCTGGAGACAATGATGGTGGCCATGTACACTGCTGCATTTGCCTACATCCTGATCTTCTACAGAAATGACTGCAAACCCATAGAGGATGATACCGAGTCAACTCTTGTACAGGTAGGTTTGGATGTTGTTTTGTATGTGCATCACACACACATGCTAATCATCTTTAGCCTTAGTTTAATAGGAATGTAATTAAATTTCATGCAGCTGAAGGATTGTATTTTTTTAACAAACCACCCCCCCCCAAAAAAAAAAAAAAAAAAAAAAAAATTTCTTTTAAGGACATATGCTTTTTATGAATCGTAAAATAATTAAGTTTTTAGCCTCATAAAAAAAGTTTATTTCATTTTCTTTAAAAATAATGTATTTCTTAAGTAAAATTTACAGAATAGTTTCTGGTACAAAATTGTGTACATTACTGAAGTTAATGCATTAAGAAGCTGTAAATATAGTATATGCAGCTCTTTTATATAAACGTATATGGGACTTTTCTTGAAAAGTTATTATTTATTTTCCTTATTTGTTTTCAAAGGCCAAGGCTGTGATGAGTTATTTCTTTAGACTTTTAAAATTTGAATATAAACCATATAGATGTTCTTTTTTTTAAAAAAAAAAAGGCTTCTGATTAACACATTTTTGGGGAGGCTTGGCTTTTGCCTGTTTAAAATTAAGATAAGTTTTACCAATTAAAGAGAACTCCTCTCTATTTTATTTTTCAGTTTTTCTGTAAAGATGGAGAGTACAGCTCATCGGCAAGACTTTTCTTTGATACTCCTGAAGCCACTGTCAAGCACTTGTTTCACAATGAGCCAGGTGAGCTTTGAAGGTTAGACGTTCTAAAAAACAAAAATGTTTTGATACTGCTTCTTTAAAAGCTAATTAAAGTTTACATATATTTAGCAGCTGACAAAAGTTAAAGTTTAAGATTTGAGACAAAAGGCAAGCATTTCACTTTAATTTTAACATAATTTGTGCTGGTGTAAAAGAAAGAAAGCCCAATGGGAGGTACTTTTAACATTCAGACATTTTTATTAAAATCTTGAATATACTTTATTAGATGTATTAAAAATATTGATCTTTATTGAAAAGATTATAAATTTGTATGATTTCACTAGGTACCTACCAGATTATTACACTTTCCATATTTGCCAGTGGCTATTTTCTTTTGGCCTGTTGGACATATGGCTTGAGTATTCCCAGTGGCCTGTTTATACCAAGTCTTCTAATAGGAGCAGCGTGGGGGAGGATTGTTGGAATATTGCTGTCTATGCCTAAGGGGAATGAAGTGAGTTCAATTATTCTATATTAAAAGCATATGGATTCAAGTAAACATTTTATATGAATATAAAGGAAAAAAAAAAAGGTATTGCTAAAAACAAATGTTGATACTGAGATTGTATATGGATGCTTTTCAAATATCTGGCCCTCCACAAGAATCGATGATTCATTTCTCCTCTCATCACACAAAATGAAATTGGCATCCAATACAATTCAACAAAAAACTAATTTTATAAAATAAAGAAATAGTATCTGTTTCTCATTTTATCAACATACTAGCTAAAACCCGTAAAAAATGACGGCCATCCGAAGGGGAACTAACCCTAGGCAACACACTGTTCGCCCAAGTGGGTCCCGTGTCTGAAGCCTGTTCACCCACTTTTTGTCACATCATTTATTTTTAGAAAGAAAAGTTTATTTCACATGCATATGCAACACAAATTCGCTTGCTGTCTGCTGCACCTTTGGGGAATTTATTTTTTCGCGTTATTGAAAAGATTGAGAAATCGATCTTATACATAACAAATTATATTTTAATTGACCAACATTACCATATGAATGACCTGTTAATCCAAATGACATATGATCTCTTATTGCTGAAATTCTACCTAATTTGCTTCTGTTTTTCACATAATGATAAAAAAAATTTAACTTTCATAACAAAGCTCTTTGAATAATGTTACCTTATTTAATGTTTGTAGATATTGATATGCAGATATTGATTTGCAGATATTGATTTGCAAATATTCATTTGCAGATATTGATTTGCTTGGTCAGTAAATAAAAATTTCAACATCATAATGTTGAAGTTCTTAGAGTTGAAATTTTAAAAGTTATTTTAAATGATTGCAAAATTATAAGTTCCTCACAGCCCTCCTCAAAAATGAAAAAAATAAAAACTACATGCCAATGAAAGACTTCAAAATGTTCTTTTCCTCACAGCAATGGGTCTCTTTGTCTTTCTATTCTTTGGTTGGAGCCTCATCCATGCTTGGTAAGTGGAACAATTTCATTTGTAAATAATAACATCTTGGCCGTGCACCAAGTTTGGACTCAAGTGGCATGAACTGTGTCAAGCACGTGTGCCTTGTCTTATCTCAATGGACCACTTAACATTTTAGCTGCAATATATAGTTGGGCATTCCTGGAGGGTCTGTCTTTTTCCCGGGGGTTGGTACTTATTGTCAATGCCTTTTTTCAATTACTTGTCAACAGAAAGCAACACCTGTAATGTATATGTCTGTGTTCCTTTTTATATCAAATGAAGCCCTACTAATTCAAACATCTATTCTAATTATAAATCTTTCAGCCCTCTTGAGCCCACTGGTGCTTTAAGCAACATCAAATTATCTGGTCTTCCTTTAATATATATATATAAGCCTTGACATTTTACATTCACCCTTAAGTATATAATAAATCTACACCAAATCCAGTTAATATTTTGCTTACTGAGATAAAAGAAAAACTAATTTAAAACAATGGAAGAAGTTACTTAGGTTCTAAAAAATTTTTGGTGTGTATAATTGTTTTTAGAAATTTTTAAATTATTATTATGGTTATTATTGTAACTTAAATGTAAGTTAATTATAAAAATGAACTTAATAGAGATGGAATTGTAATGTAAGTTTAATTTAATTAAAAGAATGAACTTAATACAGGTGGTATTGTAAGAATGACCATCAGTTTGACTGTGATAATCATGGAAGCCACGTCCAGTGTTCCTCTTGGTCTCCCAGTGATGGTGTCTCTCATTGTGGCCAAATGGGTTGGAGATCAGTTCAATGAGGTGAGCAACGATACAGGTTGTCATTTGTCAAAGGCGCCATTTTCAGTTCACTTATTGGTAATGACAATCACTGTGCTAGTTTGCTTAATAGCCAGCTATGAAACATGTATAGATATAGAATTAGTGTTTCAAATTTTACCACTTATCGTGCTCACACTACCCCACTTATCATTGTCCCATTATCTCACTAACCAGTTCCTCACCACTCTACTTATCATGGTCCCACTACCCCAACTTATCATCTCTCACTACCTCACTTATCATGGTCCCACTACAATTTCTGTCAGTGTATTTGGCACCATTTTAACCTGATTTTTATGTCCTGCATGATTTGAAAGGGCCATGGGAATGTGACCTCTGTGACCTCCTCAACATTCTCTTTGTGCTTTAAATTCTCTTAGCTGTATGAGCATTGTGACCTCCTCAACATTCTCTTTGTGCTTCAAATTCTCTTAGCTGTATGAGCACTGTGACTTCTGTGACCTCCTCAACATTCTCTTTGTGCTTTAAATTCTCTTAGCTGTATGAGCACTGTGACTTCTGTGACCTCCTCAACATTCTCTTTGTGCTTAAATTCTCTTAGCTGTATGAGCACTGTGACTTCTGTGACCTCCTCAACATTCTCTTTGTGCTTTAAATTCTCTTAGCTGTATGAGCACTGTGACTTCTGTGACCTCCTCAACATTCTCTTTGTGCTTCAAATTCTCTTAGCTGTATGAGCACTGTGACCTCTGTGATCTCTGTGGTATCTAAAAACATGTTGCATGTTTCAACGTTCTATTTTAAAAATGTTCATCAGCTCAGAATGTGTATCTCAATGCTGAAAATAAGTATGTACAAGGTAATCAAAGCCCATTAACATGAATTTTATTTGGATCAATAAAATCATCCTATGTGATCTCAGATGTTTTAATCTTATCTCCAGGGCATTTATGATCTTCATATACATCTGCAAGGTGTTCCTATCCTGGGCTGGGAACCATTGCCCATGTCCACCAACTTGAGTGCCAAGTGAGTTTGACATATAACCAAGTTTATAGATTGACATGGCATGGTTATGTTACCAAGTTTATGGAAGAAAATGACTTCTCTACTTCAACCCAGTAATCACTAAAATTATGAATAGTTAAAACTTCAACCCAGTCCTTATCAAACTTGGAATGAGAATTTTCATAGTTCACATCTTTGAGCCCCTGGAGGACCTACACAGCTTACAGCATCTTGAATTGTGATGCATTTAATCCTATTGAATAACCCTAGAGTAGCTAATCTATGGCTGTCCATAAAACTTCATTATCGCTGATTAATCTCCTCTATCTCCAGAGCTGTGATGAGCCATCCTGTGACAGTGTTAAGGATGAATGAACCAGTAGAAAGAATTGTCAAAATCTTGAAAGAGGAGTCACATAATGGTTTCCCAGTTGTTGAAGAGTATGATCCTGATCATCCCATTGTAAGATTTTCTCATTATTTTAATTAAATTATCTTTTTAGTAGACATTTATTGTGAAAGTAGGTCAAATCTTTAGTCAATTCTTAATGTGTTCTTTAAAATAGGTTTTTAACCCTCGAACTGTGGCATGCAACATTCTGTGGTGTGGAGCTTTTCAGAGCTTTTTGGGTGCCTTTTGAAATTGCATTAAATGACATAGAAATATTGATGCAAGACCCCAATAATTATATATTTTTAGAAACGTAAATGGATGGGGATAAAGTTGGCTATATTGACCACCCTGTAAAAAAATTTTAGCTCAGCATCCTTGACCTTGGAGTGCTCAAGAAAATAAAAATTGACAAAATGTCTTGCTTTCAAGTGCTCAAAACATCATTAATTTTTATAGGTACACTTAAAACACAAATCTAAATGTTGTAGCCAATTCATTTATCTTTCAGAAAATGTATAGTTGGCTATGGTTTTGATTACAATTGAACCCCTGAAAGCAATAATAGTAATTTTTGGTCATTTATATAAGAAACTGGGACCACAGCTAAAACCAAGTAAAAAATACAAAATTTCAGGCAAAATAGTTAGTATTAGCTAGTAAACATTTAAAAAGGAACTGTGGAACTGATTTGGGTTGTTAAACTATAAAATTTATTAGTTCTGATCTATAATCTGAAGCTTCTGTGACTAAAATTCAGTCAGTCCTTGCCCAACCTCCGGGCCTGGCTCGAAGTCAAACAGTAGCCTCAGTAGGCCTACTTTAGTGTCACTAAGACTAGTATCAGATTCACGAAAAGCAGAATCTGAAGTGAGATGTCATGGGAAATGTTAAAATCATCGTCAGTATCACTTAAATCCTCTCCTAAAAAGGTTTCATAAATATTTATATTAGTTCTTGCACTGAAGGCCCGGCCATAGCTTTCGCCATTTTAGCTTTAAAAACACAGCGATATAAAATTCCGATTAAAAAGTACTTATTGTTAAGTTATCAAGAAACAGCTTGACGCGGAAGTTGATTTAATTATTAATAAAAGGAAGTAGCTATGATTTCTGTTTAATATTGGATTGGAAGTTGCTATCGGACCGTGTCTTTTATCAGCCAATATTTTCGGCCGCCCCAGCACAGAACGAGAATATCGGCCGATTTCGTCAGCCGACCACAGTTCGAGGGTTAATACTGTTGAAGCAAAAATTCCTTTATTAAAATTTTTGTTAAACATTTAAAATATATATTTTTGTTAAATGTTCGAATGTGATACGTGATCTCTTTGCTTTAAGAAAACATATTTGGGAAAGGAAAATTGTTTTACTTAAGGACTTTGATTGATACAAACTTGAACATTCATGTTCAGGTCATGTTCTGTAACTTTCCCATTGAATAGGTTGTTGATGGCCTTGACACATTTGGGACATTTAAAGGTTTGATTCTGAGAAGTCAGCTTATAATGATGCTTAAAAAGAAGGTTAGTCAACTGTGATTTTCAATAGGGTTGTTAAAAATGATTTCCACTTCCTTTAACTGAGTATGAGCTTTTAAAAAAAAGTGTCAGAGCTCTGCTCAGTGATTGTTTGAGAGGGTCACATTATCAATTTTATGGATGCCTGCTAAACTCTTATATTAAAGCAAGTGTGACCAAAAATATCACTGCCCACTTAGTCAGAGAAGAACAAGAATGGCTGCACATTATATTTTCAACCATCTTTGTAATTTCTTTATTTTTCAGCTGTTTGTTGAAAACCCAGACATTAATAACATTGTAAATAACTTGAAGATGGCCGAGTTTAATGAGTCCTATCCCCGATACACACCTATACAGGTATTATATGTGCCCCAAGCTGGGTTCTTTACAGAATTTTAAAAAATTGGGAACCTTAATAAATTTTATGTTAGAATGCAGTCATGTTTAATGTGTTACCTCCATTTTATTTAAGTGAGCACTTATGTTTTATAATTATTTTCAAAATTTAATGGGATATGTTGTAAAAAAAAATTTGACGAGCCACAATATATTACATCATGTACCATAAAAATGTTAATCATTCATAATTTTAGTGATTACTGGTACATATTGTATCATTTTGATATTGTATTATATTTGTTAAAATGTTCACTGTACAGAGAATCAGTATATCTCCTGAGGAGAAAAGCTTTCATATGAATTTGGCACCTTTCATCAATCAATCCCATTATGTTGTTCTTGAGGTAAGAAATCAATGATATTTTCATCAATAGAATTTTTTTTTTAAATGAAAGCTTCTTCCAATAATTTTTCATTCATATTTTTTTTATGTTTGAAATTTTTACATAGTCTTAAACATTCATAATGATATTATTGATTTGTTTTGGTGTTTGAGAATTTGAACGTGAAATAGCCACCAATGAAAATGGACGCTGCCGTCAGTTACAACGTCTAATTCTTATTCATTTGTTTTGATATTTATGCAAGTCGCCAGCAATGTTTTAAAATATAATTATTCATACATTTTTAAAGCATTTAAAAATGGCAATGTATTTATTTTAACTTTTAAACTTCTCAGAGTTCTTCATACTCCAGCATCTTTAAAAAGTTTCGATCTCTTGGCCTCCGTCACATGGTGGTTATCAACTTTAGGAATCAAGTTATAGGAATCGTGACACGTAAAGATTTGGCTCGTTATATGACAGAATGCAAGAATGGGGAGATAACCATACAGGAAAAAAAAATCATTCACTAACATTAGCTCATTTGTACAAAAAATGTTTGGAAATGTGTAAGGCTGCAATTTTGTATTATTTATTTCTTGTATGGATCCTTTCTTTTATCGAGGTCCTATTATGTGTAGGCCCTGTTATGTGGAGGTCTTACTGCATAAACCACTGGATTTCAAAAGATCAAAATATAAGTTTTACATGCCAGTTCATGCAGTTATTTTAATTGGTATTGACATTTTTTTATTTACATCAGCATATGTTTAGAAGGGTACTTACTTTGTACAGTTTACTTACCAGGCAAATCAGCACATGCAATGCAAATGTAATTAGTTTGGATTTAACACAATGAATAAAAACATTGTAATGTTCTTATTTAAAAATTTTAATAAGTAAATATTCCTGACATTAAATAAGAATTTGTATGGTATGGGGAAAATCTTGCCTCTTGTTCAATAATAACTAAAAACTCAAAAGAACAATTTTTCCATAACCCGTAATTGAAATTTTTCTAAATGCAAGAATTGGAATCCAAACCCCATATTTTTAAATTGTATATAACTAAAAGATTGGGACAGAAAACTTTTAACATTAGTATTTAACTTTTGAATCTGGGAAAATGTTGCTGTACTGATAACTATTTTTAATGAAGCTTTTGTTCCTAATTTTTGAATTAATGTATTTTTATGTAGACAGCAAAAGATATGATTACATTTTTTTTCCTATAATTTAAACTGTGAAAAAAATTTCTTTTATCTTTCATATATATTTCAAACTTTATATTATCAAATTGAATTTTAACATTAGAATTTTAAACCTCATGGTTCTTAACTGCACCAATGTTAAAAAACAATGTGTGCTATTTTGCATACTTTTTAAACTTCTGGATATAAAAATATATGCATGTTTTAAAATAAAACATATCAAAGTACAAAGGCAGAAATGTATAGCTGAAGAATTTATAGGAGGATTACATGATGATTGAAAAAATGCTCATTGGAACTTCTTCTGTCCACTTGTACCGAGCAGGTGTCATGGGGACAATAATCTTGCAATAACAAATTTTTTCCACAAAAAAATTATTTTTTATAAAATGTTTCAGAAGGTTATTTAATGATTATAAAAGGTTGAAATTCAAAATGTAGTAAAAACTAAAACAAAAACAAAAATATTTTTTTTCAAAGAATGAATTATCTGGGAACTTTTAAAAAAAATTAAGGCACTAGGTAAAATTTAACCTACTAAGGTTAAATTATTTTTATTTAAAAGTAGGGCCTTAAATGATTTATTCTTTTACCTTTTGTAATCGCAATCTTAAAAACACGTATTGGTTGATTATACAGTTTTAATGCACAAACTGTAATTAACACAAAATCTGCAACTAATGCTGTAACTTAATTTGCGTACATAATTTGTTTTCCTGTAAAATTGAAATATTCTAGTCCATAGTTGGTTATCATTGATCAACATTCCTTTTATAAAAAAGCTATATAGGGATAATTTTTGAATAATTAAATTTATATTTACTTCATCTTTCTATTTTTACAAAAGAAGTATGGAAACTGAAATACTCCGTCACACCGATATCTTTTATGACCAATAACATTGAAAAAAAATGATAATTTTACTTATTATGAGTTATAAATGCTCATCATTTAATTTGCCTACAATCATTGTTATGATAATTACAAAAATGAAAAGAAATGCATGAGAGATGGATACCTCTTAAGATATTAAAGTCATGTTCTTTTGTGTTCAATGGCTTTAACGACAAGCTGCTGTGATATGGTTCCTATATTTATGCATTTAAGTTTTAAATAAAAAGTCACTTTTAAACACTTCAAGATTTCATTCAAAGACCTAAAGAAAAAAAAATAAAATGTAAGAAACACAAGAAACTGTATTTATGTTATTATTCAGGTAAAATTTAGCTATGACATTTAGTAAGAATTTCAAACATATTTAAGTGATGAAAATTTTCTTTAGCTGAATCATAGGGAATGTCTCAAAAGAAAAAAAAAACTGATGTCTATTTCCATAGGGGGAATCGCCCAATTGCAGATTTCACAATAGATAATCACAGTAAAGAGCAAGTAGGAACATATAAATACCTAGGTGTCACCATTAAGAATTAGCTGACATGACATGAAAATGGCCCAAATTTTAAAATAAATCTTAAAAAATTGTACAATTTCGGCACAAACAAGTAAATTTATTCTACAGCTCAACAGTTGGAAACCTACTAAACTTCAGTATTACCCGCTGGTGTGGGAATTCACTGTCAGACTTCAAACACCGATTAAATAGATTAATCAAGAAAGATAGTCATACGACACACACAAAAAAAAAACATCCTTCACTTGAATAACTATTAAAATACAAATGCTGTTGTAAAACTAAAAATTGGGGATGATTTATCCCATCCTCTTCATCACAGATACCCAAGCTCGATCAGGGTGAATTCTTGCTATTAAAGTTAGGACTGAAAGGTATAAAACTTATTTGGTTCCCCAGTCTTTACAAATTTACCAGTGCAGTGGGCTCCCAAATGGTGACCAAATCTAAATGATCACTAATTAAATCATTAGTGTCACTAAAATAGTTCACTTATGGCTGGTTTCTATGCTAGAGAAATACTTTAGTTAGTATTTTGTTTAAATTGTTATATTTGTAAAATGCTGTCTTGGTTTAAATATGTATTTATTTATGTGCTGAGATCAAATATGTACAATGTAATAAAAAAAAACATTTCCATTTATTTGATCAACAAAGAATATTATCTTATCGTATCCTATATTATACCAAACTGACAGGTATAAAGATTTTTTTATCCTGCACAAATAAGAGTACATTTTTTCTAACAATTCTTTTTAATTTTATTTTTAAAAATGTGTATTTTATTGAGCAGATACCAATTTAAATTGAAAGAGTTGTCATTCTTTAAAAGAAAAATGATAATTTTGATTTTTCTACAATTGATAAAAAAAAAATGTATGGAAAAAATAGTTTCCTGTTTAAATTACAATTTTTTTTAGCTGTGGATGTGTTTTGAACTTGAGCAGTTTTTATTTCTTTGGGAAGTCAAACAATATACTCGCTTTATACTTTGAACATGATTTGTCATTTGTTCACTAAAATCTGTCATCTTTAGCAAGAGGAAAAACGTTTTCCATTTTGGTACAATAAAAAAAAACCTAAATGTAGACAGGCCTAAAAGCAAATATTAGTTTGTTAAAATTTTATAAAATATATTCATTGTCAAATGTTACTGTTAAAATCGGGACTCCAGATTTGGGAGACACTTTTTAAAAATCTGATTTTGTTGTTTGATGACAGGAAAGTTTGTGATTATTATGGGACAGAATGAACTGAGGATGATGTCATGCCTTTTTTTCCCTCCCTTTGCTTCTTTTTTTAATTATTTAAACTTGAAACAGAATTTGTTTTAAAAATCATTTTAAACACAAGTTTGAAGTTTCAGTATGAGAAGAGAATAAGCCTCTCATTATTGAAATGGATGAACATACACAGAAAAATACATACATTATGACAGCTTGTAATATATATAATAAAACGGCCTTTGAAGTTTTACCTCTGTTGCTGAAACATTCATTATGCATAGGTTTGTTGTAACTGAGACAATTTTCTTTATGGGGTCGTCAATTAATTAGGTCAACGATTTTTACACAATTTTTGCCCCCCTTCCCCTTTATCAACAACTGTAAAACTTTCAATTACCCCCCTCCCCCCCAAACATTTTATTACATCTTTAGCTTGTTAATCAACATGTTAAAAAGTTTGTGCACTTAAATTTTATAATGCAGAATCGATTAAAAGGTTGTTAGACTAAATATCATTGTTAACGGAAGTATAAATATGATTATTGTCAGTATCACTGACAATTATAGCATAGTTTCTAGCTGCTATTATCTGTAGCCAGGTGTTGCTCTATCGTAACAATGGGCAACAGGGACATCATTTGGGTAGGGCAACGGGGGGGCATACCCCCCCCCCCCCCCGATTTTGCCGGTTTAATTTAAAGTGCTATGC